CAGTTGATGTTTTTCACTGACTACAACCCAACACTTTATTGCTTAATTAAATCACATGGATTTATTATTCAGTGAAGTTTATCAGCATAGTAGTCAAAGACAAAAAATATTCCCACACTAGTAAACTTCATATTATTAGATTTTCAAAAGGTAAGACCTTAACTAATTCTACAATTATATTTTTTTACCAGCGTCAGTGTTAACGAATTAATACCCACGTAAAAAAATAATTTACAATATTGATTACACTTGATTTATTGCAAACAGATAATTTATTCTTAGTGGATCAATGGATGGATAGCCGAGTTAGTTTTCAGTAAAATTTATTCAGTCAGTCAGTCAGATGCAACGTAGAACTTCGTACGTAAGTACATCAGTTCATGTCGCCATGACACATCAGCACAGAGATGTGATTGTCAATTCAAATCCAATAGTAGTAGAGGTAGTAAGGGTATTAGAAGTAATCGGAGAGGTTAGGATTAGAAGATATTATTCAAGAAGCATTATTTAATGAGAAAAGTTTAGAAAGTCAAAACTAGAGGTGTTGAAGAATCCAGAAGGTTAGGATTTGAGAGAACACAAAGAATGAATGCACTGGCGCCATTGCGAACGATTTTGAGCCATGTTATTCAAGGTCTCTAACCTTATCATCTCGCGGACCCCAACCAGGTAGGCGACAATTACCGACATGGCTAAGTCCACTCGTCAATGACTTCATGGATTTCTGCCATGTTTTGATTTGGCCGCCCCTAGCTTTCTTCCAACCTATTCCTACACTACAAAACAAAGCTCTTCGAGGCAGTCAGTGGTTGGGCATACGCAACACATGTCCCAACCACCTCAACTGATGACGTTTGACCACTTCATCTATTGATCTGCCATTCTTACCTAGCACCCGATTCCTAATAACAGCGTTGCTCACTCATGTGTCCCACGATATACGAGCAATGCTTCGAAGACACCTATGATCGAAAATCAGTCACCTACGAATATCTTCTACTCTCACTGGCCATTTTTCACAGCCATAAAGTAAGACGGAGCGAACCACTGCACAGTACATTCGTCCTTTAGTCAGCAAACGGATATCTCGCCTTCGCCATAAGTGACGCATGTTGGCAAAAGCCAATCGAGCCTTCTGTATCCGTGCCGAGATTTCGTCAGTCACCAGGCCATGGGCACTGATGAGACTCCCAAGATAAGTAAAATTTATTGGACTGTCATCATTTCTTTTAACCTCTTGGAGAGTTGGAATCGCTAAGGATTTATTTGTTCTATTGGCTACTAAGCGTAAGCGTATATCACTCTACACATAATGTCGGATTTAAAGGATTATATATTAATTTACACCAACTTAGTATGATTATTACAAAATTGTGAGGAACTAATACTCGACTACAGTAAATAAATATTTATGATTCAGTACTAATGAAACATAACGAAACATTGAAAAACATTTTAGTCTATATTACAAGTGATGCATATCTGTTTCTACCAGATAAACAGTATTCTAATTATCAATTGGTAGGTGAAAGTGATGACTTTGGGATCGGTAAATTTATACACTCAGTAAGTTGTTACATTGCGCCTAACGATGAAAAGATTGATTGATTTTATTGTGCGTTTTTTCTTGAATCACTTCGAATCAATCTAAACTCTATATCTTTTTTAGTTCATGTTTTAGTATCTGAGCTTATAAAAAAAAATTGATGTCTACAAACATTTTTCTGTTATGTAATTGTTCTGGGAGAAAATCCACTGCACTATACAGTACATAAATGTCCAGAGAGAATGAAATTTAGAAAAATTAACAAACCATATAACATATTTCCATATTGTACCATAATCTATCATGAAAAGAATGATATCAATAGCTGATAACCCATAGTAAATTGACTGTTCATTCAAATTCACCAGATTTATTTGACTATATGATGTACATTATCAGCCTACAAGAAAATGCAGTGTCATTGACTGATTTGCTAACAAACTTTCTACACCTTTACAAAGAGATCGATAAGGTTATATTTATATAAAGGGAGTGTGAGTGAGAGTAAAAGAGAATAACATATGTAAATATTTCAAATATCACGATTCCATTGGTAAAACGAGAACATTTTTATGTACCTTTGAGAATTTTAAAATAGAGTTTTATTTTATAAACATAATTTACTACTTAATTTTAAGGATTAGTAAACTATCATCATAGTTTATTAAAGTAATATATTATTGCTTTCCTATTCTCGTAAAATAAAAATTTAAATTCAAATGAGTTTGGAGTCATAAGGTTTCTCAAAATTTCCTGTTCCACTCATAATGTTTTTATTTCGGAAATTGGCATGCAGTCCTATATCCAGAATATGCTTAGTGTGCAGTCAAATTACTTAACTTAAACATTATTGTGTAGCCACCCTTTAAATTTCTATTTGTACTGTGACATCAATTACTATGATTAGCTAGCCCGTTTTCATTATGTTACATTCTATAAGTGTATATAAGCTTCTCTTAGTAAATTGAATAGTTTATTCTACTGCTCAATCGGAGATCTCATGCATAAGAAAATGTTATCGTACACATTGAACGACAAACCTGTACAAACAACACGGCATACATATTTTGCATATTTGTGAATATAAATAATATATGTAGACACAGTGACGAATTACCACAGCTAGATAATAACAATAATAGTAATAATCACATACATAATACAATAATAAATTCAATGAACTCATAACTACGAACACTCTTAAACAATCAAATTGATAATTTCTTCTTTTTTTTAAATTTTATTTAAAAGAAAAGAAACGCGATAAAACAAAACATACCAAGAAAGAATATTCATAGATTAACATTGATGGTCTTTTTTGAGTCTTTAAAAACAAAAAGAATAGAAACAAATTCACAGAGAAAAAATACAATGAGAATTTGAAAAAAAACGTAAGGTGTTAAAATTAGAAAGAAAAAAAGAAGGGAAACATAAGCGAAAATACAAACATGTCGAGGTTTTGTTTCGTTGCCTTAAGAAAGTAAACATATGATATTAATAATAATAGTAATAATCATTAAGGCATGTTTATATATATATATATATATATATATATATATATATATAAACAAGAGATAGCATTTACTTAGTTATAAATGGATTGATTCAATAGTTGACTGATTGTACTTATCATCAATCGGTTATTTTAATTAAATGAATAGTATATAATCAATTCATTGCGTTACAAATAATAAATACATACATATGTCTGAATAACCAGAGAATGAAAATATCATTCAATGTTTATCGTTTATTTCTCTTGAGTAAAATATTGAATTTGTGATATAGATTTTCATTTTTTGTGTGTTTCTCATTAGATTGTCATATGTTTGTTTACATGGTTATTTAACGCTCAACTGTGCAATTTACATAATAATTTATAAATTGTATAAAGATAATGAGGAAAAAAGAAAGATTTTGTAAATTAAAAAGGGGGAATGAGATTTTTGTAGATTCATAAAATCGAATTGATGCAAATAAGTGTAATGTAATGTAATGAACTTTTGATTAGAATTTCAATTAGATTTCGCTACATGCACATTAGTATTATTATTATTATTATTATTATTATTATTGATGTTTGTACCGTTTAAAAAGGCATGGATTGAAGCATCACATTTATTGATAGTATTTTTGATGTTAATACTTGTTAATACTTTTTATTTTTTAATGATCATACGTAGACTGTTGACTTGATATGACTAAAGTGTGTGTGTGTGTGTGTAAAACAATGCATTATTTACTTTTAAAGTCTCCAGTTATTATCATACAGTTTATTGTGTTTTTTTTTCATTGTTCAGTTGTTTTGTTTAAATTTCGTTGTACACTTGATTATCATGATAACAAAATAATCACATGGAAAAAAAGAAAAGAATTTGAATTGACCAATATGGATAAAATGAGAGAGCAAAAGAACTAGATTATATCAAAATAACTTCAGATGTTAATGTGTTCAATTCAATTCAAATTCAATTCACTTGTTATTTTTAAAATGTTTAACAAGCAAGAAGAAAAAAAGATACCACAATTAAACGAACGATACATTTACATTTGTACTTTAGGTACTATACAGTATGAAAAATACATTATATTATTATTATTATATTTTTGGGAAAACATTGGATAATTCAAGGGTTTGATTATTCATGCTTTAATTATGGGAAAAATAGAAATAATAGTTGTCTTTTAAATTTTGTTTTTATTATACAAAATAACCACTTAGAAATCAGTTGTGATAATAATAATAATAATGAAGAGTAAGTGAACATTGATAGTAGAAGAAAAAAGTAAGTGAATGTGTCATACAAAAGAAATAGAAATTAAAGGGCGCAGAAATTTGAAATGGTTAAAGTTTACTTTAAGGAGAAAAAATTTTCATCAGAAAACTGATGACGATTCAAATTATATAATGTAATGATTTAAAAATGAAGCATTTGGAACCACATGTATATGGAAGCAATATAAATAAATACACACATAAACACAAGTTACATTGAATAACAGACAACGAATAAAAAAACACACCAATAGTCAAAAACCAAGGGACAAAGTGAATAAAGGTTAAGTAAGACCATGAAATGATAGCCAATGAAAGAAATGAATAATGAGATGATTGGAAATGGTAGAAATTATCAAGCGATTAAACATGCAATGCAATAGACATCAATAAAAACATCAACTCCGATTTTGAGCAGAAATTATGTTGAGATACTTTATTTAAAGTAATTTGTGTAAAACAGGCCAAGAATATATAAGTATTCATTGCTTTCTCAGATTTCATAGTTTTTGTGCCAACATACCAATGTACCCATTAAGAATGTAAACAATACATTTTCACTGAGTTATTATTATCATTATTATTAAGTTTAGGTCATGGAGATTACATTAGCATATGGAGGAAGAATAGCAGTTGGAGGTAAGAAGACTGAGAGGGGTTGGGACAAAGGACACTCACCTGGAGACAGATAATATCCAGGTAGGTAAGCATAGGCACTTGGTTGACGTGCTGTAATTGGTGATGTTGCTGTTAGTGTGTATGAAGCAGCAGCAGCAGCTGCTGCTGCCGCCGCAGCTCCATTCAATTGAGCAGGAAGAAAATGAGCTAAAATAATTGCAAAAACAAATGAAATATTCACTGAACTGGTAGATTATATACATAATATATATAACGAAACGTAGAAAACAAGTTCACCGCTCTTAGAATATAAAACTGAATCATTTTTGTTCTGAATTTGAATCTCAGATCAATTTTATCCTATTTGTAATCTGAATATGTTCACGATGACGAAATAATTGTAATATAAATTTAAAGACTACTATACATTAATTAAGTGTACCTTTTAATGCTCAATTAAAAAACCATCATTAGATTAAAACTCTCCAGAAATTTTAAAATGAAATGTTTTCATACCCCAAATATTTAAGATTTTTAACTAAAATAGCTGACTACAGATTGTTTGAATGAGCGCAATCTAAAGCTGGATATTTTAGCGAAATTTGTTTGCAGACAATTCGATCTCGTAATAGCTGGACAAAAAGAATCGAAAACACATCTTTTTAGTTCAGTTTAGTAAGAATTTCGCTTCAGAACTAAATTTCTCAAAAGTCAAAATGAATTAAATCAATCCTTTATGTTAATTTATTTGGCTTTCCAAAAAGTAACTGAATAATTATTTCCAGAAACTGAAAAACAATCTAATATGTGATATTTCGATAAGCTTTGAATTTTATGATTGTTATCATTATGCTATGAAACAACATAATTGTTAAACAAATTAAGAATAATATATTGCTGATAAAAGTAATAACTTACAAATTGGTGCACGAATAAACTGATGTCTTTGTTTAATCAAGGAATTATTTGTACTCATCACCTCCTTTGGAACAGCCTTTTTGGCTTCAACCTATCAAGTATTGATAATTTTAGTGTTAAAAGCAAAATAAATATTTTTTATTTAAAATTTTACCAATAAACAATTGATTTTTATTTCAAAAGTCTTCGGTTGATAAAATAAAATATAAACACTTTTTTTATTACAAACAAACTCAGAATTTATTCAATAGCAAATGAGAGGACTTTTTAAGTTATCTTTTATTTGAAATCGGTTTTAGTTACATCTTTAAAAAAAATATCATGTTAAGGTTCCAAAGCTGATATATATTCCAGCTAAAATTTAGTAAGTTTGCAGAATTAATGACAGTATTTTGATTTCATGAATGAACTTATTAAATGTCAACAATGCTACACTCTGTGGAAATTAAAAACCTTATAAATGTAAACTATCGAATTATTGTTTAGTTATTCGTTTGATTTTAGGCTTACTTCTGATAGGTTAATCTTATATGAAGTAGTGAATGACTTATTGAAATGATTCAAACTAAAATGATGTTTCTGTTTAATGAACATTTAATTTTTGTTGATTCTCCAAGTGATGACAGGGCTTATGCCTGTCACTTCTCGTGGAGTATAGTTTGCGAACCAGCAATCTCAAACCAACACTTCCTTTCAGTTCGTCAGACGTGCTATTCACTCTTTCGATATCTTTTTCTAGATTTGATGCGATCTGTTCCATAGTTTTCATTGTTTCTTTTGACCTCGAATGTTGTAAGTATGGGCTCGCCTCGTGCCACAGTTAGGTGATCAACGCAGTGTGTGTCTTATACACCTTCCTCAACCCCTACGGGATCCGCCTCTTGAACTCGACGTCGAGAGTCCACTGAATCTTTCATTATGTTCAACGATACTCTGTTGAAGACATTTCCTGATACTACCAGTAGACTGATGGCTCTGTAGTCCTCACGCTTACTGAGGTCCCCTTTTTTTGGCATGCTGATGATGTATTCTTCTTTCCATTCTGTTGGTACTTGCGCTTCATCCAAGATCCTGCTGGAGTAACTTTGCAGTTACTTATGTATCTGATTTCCGTTGGTTTGTTGTCTAATGCTGCTTCTTTACTACTCGTGACTAGTTTGACGGCCATAATGATCTCGTCAGTTGTTGGTGGGGAAACATTTTTAGGAGGGTTTTTCAGTGATATTTCGGTGGTTTCTGAGATCAATGTGGCTGGTTCATCCAACAATTCTTCAAAGTGCTTCACCCACGTGTTTTCATTGCTTTGTGATAATATATATCATCTTTGAATATGTTTGAATTACACAAACTAAATGCATCGATCCGAATTATTCAAAAATATGACCTTAGTGAACACTATGATAATTTGTGTTATACACTGTGAAACACTATGCCATTTTCGAGAATATAACTCATTTCACAGAACAATAAGTCACAGAATTACAGTATAATTGTTTGATACATGTGAATGCTAGTTATGAAGTTTATTCGTTATGCATATTTTCAATCGGTAGCGTTCAAAATTTCTTCATTTTACATGCTTGCGTTGAAGTTAAAATTTCAATACTGAACGCTGTGTCTACATACATGAATATCACACGTCGATAAGTCAATTTTGTAATGAATTCTACATTGTAGGTAACCGGTAACTGACATACGCCCTGGTATTCATAACAACACACGATATCGACTTGGTCACAACCGATCCCTTCCAACAGCTGACAGATAGACATTTGACTACAAATCTAAGAATACCAGAAATTCATGCTTCATATTACAATTCCTTACACAATGAAACACAATTCCTAAGTTGACTAAAAATTCCTCTATTAAAGCCCGTAAATCTGCAATAACGACTGAACTAGCGAAAATTTAACAAATTGTTATCATGAGTGACAAGATTTCAGTATAGCATGAACTTGAGAGAAGATATCATTACCGACATTTCGTTTTCGTGAAAAATCGAAAATATTGGTTTATTTTATTTTATTCAGTAGTCAACATCAACCAAATAGAGAATTGCTTTTCATATTCAGAAATTTTTTTGATCTAAGTCAAACATTTTACAATGACGTCAAAATTTAAATGTCGGTTTTTTTCGGCATACACCTTTTTCAGCCAATTATGCAAACATTTTAAAAAGAATGAATGTCTAAGGTGACAATAGAAACAAAAAATAAATTTTCACAACATTACAAGTTAAGCCTACTCATTCAAAAGTTATCTTTGTTACTTCTACGTAAAATCCCAACTGTAGATCAGGTAGAATTTGTTTATTCTTGATAATAACTCTATTGATAATTAGCATATTTGATTATAACTGCAGCTGTGTGTACAAATGATTAAAACTCTTCGGCCACTGTTTCTGCTCATGTCGGAACAGCTAAGTATTAAATATTACGAGTTTCTACACAATAGTTGAGTATATGTTCCCAAAGTCAGCAAATAAGTCCACACACTAAATGCTATTTTAGTAACTAGCTACTTCTATAAATTACTGACTAATTTTTGTATGTTCTTTTCATTTATTTAAAGTCGTAGAATCTGACGTTAAAATGAATAGGCAGCAAGTTACGTTTTTCTTAGTGTACCAGTATTATTTACTTATAGTCACTTTCAATTCTACTAACAATTAAAATAATTACTCTTAAACTTAAGAGGTTAAATGTTAATCTACAGCATAAGAAAAACCAATTGTCAAGTGGTATAAGTGTAAGGAAACACCAAAAGTTAATTCATTACTTTACTGAAAAGATCATTATTAGACTAAATCCATGAACCATTTAGCTTAACGAAGAAGAGTTAAAAAAAATTTAAGGATATAAGTTAACGTCATCAGATTGTAAAATTTTTGTCAGACAATTAAGAAATAAAGTTTAAATACTTTTAGTTTATGCATTGTCCGCAAGTTAATCTATGTCTTAACTAGTAGCGTAAAAACACTTGAATAAAATAATGATTCCCAATGGTTGCCAACTTTTAAATTTTTCCTAATGATGTAAGTCTACTTTAATTCTAATGTTGAAACTAAACTAAACCTAGATATCATTCAGTAAAGCTATAATCGTTTTTGATTTGGTTTTAGTTTTAAACTACTTTGTGTTTTATAGTTTGATTAATGATGAGCAGTTTCCTACGTTTGGTTCAAACAAGAAAGACAAAAAATCTCCATTTTTTTTTACTGAATACTTATTTCTTAGAGAAAATTTTTCAAAATGCACTGAAGTACAACAGCTAAAAATATTTATACAAATTAAATATATGAAAGTGTGAAATTCACAAAACGCTTTTGGCGTTATGCAATTTATTTTCGGTCAAGGTCAACTCATTTGAATATTTAATCGAAGTGTATTTATTCAACCGTATCCAAGCAACAAGAATACAAACTTAACAAAATTGTGAATGGATGAATTAAAATTGATTTTGTCAAAAAATCTGAAAAGTTTGGTCATACATACACTTCTTTCACTATTATTATGACAAAGATTATAAACGCACATTACAAACGAGTACAAGGCTAGGTTCAATGGTTTCTGCGAACTGCTTCCAAACAGTTTATATTATCAAAACTGAGAAATATCCATTGCGTTATTAATTTTAAAAACTGGTCATGATAAATGAATAAATTCAAACAAAGCAATAACGAGGTTTGAAGGATAAAATGAATTTCTGTTTCACGGTTTAACATCAGCTGTATACTTCTTAAGATTACAACAATCAATATTATTATTAACAAATGTTTAGCATACTTTGTTTAGTGAAGTTTAGATAAATGTTTGAAATGTAACCAAAATCATAATAGTGCATTAATAAATAAAGATCTACGTCCATTTACATATTGGGAGAAGGTAATATAGAGTAAAACAGATCATGTTTTAGTTGCAGGTAACCTTATTCAAGAACGAAATAAGTTCTGTAAGTGTAATGAAATCAGTAAGTGACTGTATAATCATTCAACACAATAAATTAAACAAATAAGTTAAATTGTTTTTTAAATCATGAATTGATCAATGTTAGACCACGATTAGAAACCTGAAAGCACTAGATGGCTGTTTTGTTTTGGTATGAGACTAATCGACAGTGCGCATCCACGACTCCCGCAACTTTCAGGATTCGATTCCAGGACCTTTGGTCTAGTGCGCGAACGTCTAACCTCTGAACCACTGAGCCGATATCTTACAGTGTTAATGTATAACTTCGATCAATTCACGGTGTTGCCCAACCTCATCTACTGTCTTCGGCGGGCACTACTTCACACCCGAACAGGATGGAACTCCACCGGTCATAACTTTTCACTAGAACTCGGAGAAACTTTTTCACTGAGCTAGTTACTAGTGAGCACGTGATAGTTTGCATCATATGTTAACAGCAATGAGATTATGTAATGGGTGAATATCAGAAAACAAAATAAAAATGAAACAAAGAGTTAAGGGTAGGGTTGGAAAAATGTTGAAAATAAGGGTTCATTAGATAAGCATGTAATCACCGTGCAAAGAAAAGCTAATCACGCTTCCCTTCTAAAATATAAGTCAAGTCGGAAATGTTTGATAACGACTGTCTATACAAATCGGAGATAGATCAGTGTTTTTGTCAAGAAATTATTTTAAATACACCAGTTAAGTTAAATTTATATCCTTTACTAAAAATGCGCATGGCATTCACACCTGAAGACCTTACTTCCTCTCATCCGTCAAGGGAGAATGTGTTCAGAAAATCCTGTTGAAACTCCTCTCTCTGTCTCCTATCCCGTTTAATTACTCCCTCAAGTACATCTAAATTCATAATGGCAATCGAAGGTGATATCAGAAGGGTTTCTATCTACTTTTAAATGGTATAAGAAACACATATGGTGTTGTATAAGGAAGCCGACTGAACAGAAGGAAATCTTATTTTCCCTATCAGCTTGATTCACCCATCTGCTCTTCCTGAAATCTCATTCCCTTAGACGGAAGACGGACGCAGATAAGTTTTTTCAACAGTCGGTTGTTTTGTTTTGTTTATCATAACTAGACACCTCCAGCACAGAATCATTTTGACTAATGTATGTATTGACTATAAACTAATTATCTATAGTGTATCTACACATCAGAGCATTGAATTAAGGCAACATATCAGCAGAAACGTTTAGTCATTTACATAAACTGTATATTTTTTAGCCAGCTGAAAAGCAAATCACAGTCATTTTTATAAATGGAACAAAAAATTTATCACTCTTCTTCAAAGTGAAACCTACAAAACTATAATATATCTACGGCTAGAAAATACATAAAGAGAATGAGTTAAACGAGAAACAGGGGACCAGAGGCAAAGGAAAAAATAAGCGAAAAATAAATCAAAAACAATAAATATTTGTATAAAGATAAGATGAAGGATATCTGCATCTATAGTTTAAGAAATATAAAAAAACAAAACAAAACTCTACATATCCTTCATTCTCTGCCTAATGTTCTGTCATTAGCCTGTCCTTAGATTAAATAAACGTCAACATTTTTATGTCTAGATTTTAGGGTCAGTCGATTGAATTTCTGCTAATAATTTATTTCTAGATATGCACACAAATAACACTGACACTGTTTGTATAAATGTTTGTATGTTTATATTTGTTGATAGGTAAATAATAACCCCTTAATGTTTGTCTAGTATAGTTCGAATCGATAAAATAGATTTCAATAAACTAAAAAACCTTTTCTTCGTTTAGACTTAATTTTAATTATGAAAGTGAGAATTTCGTAAAATTGAAAATTAAAAACACAAAATAATCGACATGCATTTCGATCATACCTTTGAATTTTTTTTTAATAACTTAATAGCCATTTTTATCTAATAGTTCCTTGAAGCTCAACTAAATAACTTTCAGATTGCCATTTAAACCTGATTAAATCTAGCATTTAAACAATTGTTAGCTCATTGAAATGTTGTGCTTACAGATATAGTTGTCTAGACAATTACAAAATAACTGGAAGAGATTTATTTTATAGATTCTTGCCTGAGCTGAAATGTATAAAAGGTTCAGTAATACTGTTTAGTAAAATTGAATAATTACTGGAGTTTAAGTGACTACTGAACTTAATACAGTTAATCGAAATTAAGATCCAGAGGTGGAATACTTATGTATCATTTTGCTGCGTATCATCATTGTGAGAAATAATTACCAAGAAAAAGAAGCTAGAAGAGTGAACAGTGCAAAAGACAATTGGTATAAAAAATCTTGTCTCAAAAACAAAAGAAATGAAAGAACGGAAGAATTAGATGACACTTAGACCAAAGCAAACAAACTAATCAAGCATCAAGATTATCAAAACTGAATAGTGATCTAAGTGTGTCAACATTATGTTTACTTTGCTGCGAGATGTTAGATGATTTAAGGTAGCCAAAAGGATACCGTGCTTGACCAGAATTTAGTGCCGGTTGCCAATCAACGATACGGTATACCTAAAATCCTGAAAAAAGTGCTGTTTCCTGTGCAATACGTATACACGACACTCAGTTTTACAGTTTGAGATTATGTAACATGTTTATTCGGAACATTCACATTATAGGTTGACTGATCATTTTTTACATGACGAATTAACAAAAGAAGATCAAAATATCAATTCACAGAAGCTTAAGTAAAGTTCGAAATACTCTAGTAGAAATAACTAACATGGAATTTGCATAAACATTAAAACTTACCATTTTATTATGCAAATCGTGGAAGTGAATTTCACAAACTTTTTCAGCTGATTCTTCTGATTCAAAAGTAACAAATCCAAAGCCTGAAAATATTGCATATCGATACGTTAATTTTCACTAAAGCTCTATAGTTATTTACAAGACATTTTCTATATATTTATATATTAGAGTATCTAATTTATTATTTTTTGAAGACATTTAAAAATACCATAGAATACATTTTATTTTAGGGAAAATGTAATGGTGATGTTTAGTCAATCACAGAAACTGATTCAAATACCAGGCCTCGAAACATTGAACATCTACAGTTTTCTTTGATGACCTTACACATCACTCAGGAATCAGTAGTTAAAATCAATGTTCAATGTTCACTTAATTCATTGACATTTTAAATGAGAATATTAATAATAAAACCATTCATTTTCTGTGTTCACCAAATTGTTCGCATAACATTTTTCGGCTGATAAATATCGCTACTTTTATTGTCTCATAATAAGCCGTTTCAAAAAAATTGCTAATGCAAATCTGTTTTGTACTATTTTGTAAGTACCTTTTGAATTAGTCAGTTAGTTATTTTGGTGGTGTTTAATCCGAGTTGAACTTAATAAGTACATAGGAAGATATTTTTTTTAAGAAGAAGCTTATTGCTTTGTTATGTTATAAATAACAGTGCACTAAATATATAATTGAATGCACCCAAAGCCCTATTTTATATTACACCGATGTACATAAAAATCGATGTGTAATGAATTTGACCAGTGCATAAACAATACCTCACGCTGAGAATAGTGATTAAAGATTTCTAAGTGCAAATACTTTTAAAAAAATTAAGTTATAGTTTTGTTTGTTCATTAAAATAAAGAGAAGTTTTATCTGAGAACAATCTACTTCATTATATTATTTACGTCAAGAGACAAGTTATTTCTTAATTAGATGTTCTAATTTACAAGAAACACAATCTAAGCCAACTCGATATCTTATTCGTTACTTCATATAATATAGGTATTATACTTGATCAAGGATCATTAGACAGCTACTTGATTCTAGTCTGTGAACCCTTACCAAATTTCTGAGAGTCATAATTAAAGCATTATAATTGGGACAGAAATAAGGATCGAATAATAATTATAGTCTATTAATATTTAGCCAGTAGAGAACGAAACACAGAACTAAGGAACGTTTCATAAAGTAATCAGTTAAAAACAGGGTTTTTATATCCTTCCTTGAGTTTCCCCTATATTGCATCACTAACTTACCTGGCATTACATAATGGTTCTAGAAGACTTCTGTCACGGGAAACTAAGAAGTAGGGAAAAGATATTTAATTCTAGTTTTGGATTCTACAATGGTGGGCACTAACAACACAAGATCATAATATTCAGCCGTAGTCATGCCATACTTAGAGCATATATCTATCGTTCCATATATGTTTAATGACCCTCATTAACAAATACTGTAGAAGTAACTATACAATATATAGAAATGCTAATTAGTGATTTAAATTACGACATTGTACCTCTGCGTAATTAATGTATATTATGACGACAAAATTAGGTATTACGTGCAAAATATTGTTTTTAGCAAATAAATTTCATCTTACCTCTATGTCGATTGGTTGACTTGTCCATCATTAACTCACATGATTCTAGCTGTTATAAAAAAGGAGAAAATCATTTATCATCAAGTCTGAATAAGGCAACACATAAAAATTTAAAAAGTTGCTAGAAGCAAAGAAATCACTTAACGAATGAGTAAACCAAATTGCACATTTAGAAGAGTGAGTGAAGTATTCAAAACGAATTTACGACATGGGAACCTTGCACTTTGACATGTTAGAAAGTAATCTATTTCGTAAATTAAAAAGTAAATTCAGTTCAAATTTTTAATGAATTAGTGTTCATTGAAAGATCTAATGTAGGATTACTAACTACCCATATAAAACATTGGTCAGTACTATCTGTTTCAATGATAGATGTTCAAAAACAGTTATTTTCTTATAAAACATCTGTGAGTTTGATTATATTCAGGTTAAGGTAGTTTAAGTAAATTAGTAAGCAAAATAAAAGAAAACAAAATGAATACTTGAAGATATTTTAGATTAATTAATAGCATTTACTTAGTAGTCATAAACATTTCAATAGTTCTGCACTAAAGATATTTATATTTTGTTCTAATGAATTTCAAGATCATGTTAGTTTATGCATTGATACAGTTGAGTTTAAAAGAGATTTTGAAACATATGCTCTTGTATATTTTCAGTGGTAGCTGTTTTCAAATGTTAAACAAACTAGTGGGTCTACATATATACTGAATAATTCTAGTAATCATTGGCAATTTAATATTACAGTTTTCTTCAAATGCCCAACTTATATGGTATAGAATTAAAATAGGCTGAAAAAAACCCATTTCCACTGTTGATTGATTTACAATTTGATTGTGAAAAAAGGAAACTTTACTATCCGTTTATCATTATTGCATTATTACCTTACTACTTTAATAAAAATAATGGAACGTTAGTATAGTGGGAATTGCTTATAAACATTTTTATATAAAAGTATTGTTATTCTTTTGTTCACTTGTTAAGTTCCCAACATCACATTGTTTGAATTATGGACTTGATAAAAAATATGATCACACATTATGTAAGTAATAGTACTCTGTATTCTTACTAGATTATCATAGAGGAACTAGCTAAAGAATAATAGTTTATAAAAGATGGTAAAAATAAGTAGTATCTAAAATAGATTTTATGGATGGCTTACATTAACAACTAAAACAAGCTTTTATCAACTTAAAATATAAAAACAGTCAATTTACATGATCCATATGAAGAGACTGAATTTTCATTTATCAGTTCTTGCAGATGGGACTTGTCAACGATGATTTGTCAGTAGTATATTCATCAATTATATAATTTCCAATGAAGTTTATTATCCTAGATTTGTTTAAATCTTATTAAGGCTTTTGGAATCCAGTATTTAACTAGCCGCCTTAACGGACCTAGAGAGCTTAATGATTGAAAAAAACACCACTTACATACTGTAGCTATCTATTTAATAACTTCCGTAAGATAGAACGTAGTGAGAAAGGAGTAGTATATGGAATATACTATTAAAGAAGTGAATATATATATATATATATATATATATATATATAGCATTAAAGTACTTTCACATCCTATGCTAACGAGTAAGCAGTATTTTCAAAACGGTATTGAAATTCTTCATATTTTGTAACAAAGTGTTAACTATTTTCATAAATTAACAATATTTTTGAATTTTATGATTGATAAAATCTTTTCCTATGCGAAGCCTTCATAACGACCATTTATTTATTATATGATAAAATAAATTAATTGGAATAGTATGAAGTAAGTTTTGCTGTGATTGATAATGAAATATTGAAAAAAAACAAGCAAAACAAAACAAATTTACTCCCTACCAGATAAATCTAAACAAAGTGTCTGTTTGTTTTAATGAGGAATATTGTAGCCTGATAATCTATCTCTCCATAGCAATGAAAATTTTTCAGGTTTGGTAGAAGAATTAAAAAGAAAACGAGGCAGAAACAAAAACACTGTTTGCTCGTGTGTTTGTGTTAGCAAAAAAAGTTAACTGGAAAGTAAGAGTGTATGAAGTATAGGAAGCTCAATCAGTGAGTAAAATAATTGTTTTACCAAAAACGGTTATCAATCAATTCATATTAGGTATCCATACATAAATTATTGAAATTCTGTAAGCCGGTGCATAAAACTACTGAGATATGTTTGAAATGTAACATGAGTGACAAACTTTGGTCTGACACTGATTTGCCTTTCTTTTAAATTTATCAGTATAACTTACAAAACAATAGGAAAATGTAGAAAATCTAATGGAATAATTGCTGTAAGTGGGGACGTTAGACCCCCAGTACTCACTTGGAAAAGGTCCTAATTTTGGATTTTTTATGTTTTCGCGCATAAGTTGCTTAGTTGACCTTGAGACTTCATTTCCCACTCGGAAAATCCCTGACTGTCATTGGTTGATGGATTACTTTGCTGAAGCTATTTTTTTGCCTCTCCCAAGGACGTTTCTGTTATGTATACATATGCTTGATTTGTGTGTCTGTCGACCTCGTATTTTCTGGGTGCTTGTAGAATACACTTCTGCGCCTTATCAAGACTTTTCGAAATCGTGAGCAAGGCCGGGGACAAACAGATTAGAATGGCCTAACGTGTCACCGTATAATTTATCGAGTAAAGTGAACTCGTAATAGTTTGGAACACATCATTATCCGTAATGAATTATTGGACAGAGAAATTTGTTGTCGCGAATAAACCAATCAGTATGGATAAATTAAAACTTGAAATGACATCACTTTATTACAATATTCAAAGTAAAACAAGAAACATTCTGACCAGTTAAAATAAATTCGATCATTTGAGTTGTGAAGCAAGATGCTTCTCCTTTTGTCTTTTACATACAGTCGAGAATATAGTCACTGATATGAATAATCAAATTATCTTTGGATACATATCTATATATATATATATATATATTATACACGTAAATTAGATATAAAATTGGTACGAAAAATAATATTGCTTTTCTCAAGGGAATTTATGTTTTAATAGTTAAGGAACTTTGCATTTAGTAAATGAAGACGACGGTGAATAAAAATCATCTTTATTTTAAGAGGAAAAATCAAGTCTAGTTAAAACTGATTAAATCTGTTAAAAAAAAGAAATGACTTTTCCAAAAAATCCTGCAGTGCTTTATTTGTTTATAAATAATAGTAATTATTATTGGTAAGATATTACTTTCTGTTTGTTTAAACAGAACGTATTTAGTCTTTCTAATTAAGTGGATGCTAATTATTACACATTTGAAATCATCAGTCAATCATTGTTAGATCACCATTAAAAACCTGGCACTGGACGGCCGTTTCGTCCTGATATGGGACTCATCAGGAGTGCACATCCACGACTCCTGCACCTGGCAGGAATCGAACCCATGATCTGCGGTCCTATGCACGAACGCCTAACCTTTGGACCATTGGGACGGCATCCAACGGTGTTCATGCCTAACTCTGATTGATCTAGGCATTTTGTGCGACCTCACCTATTTGACTTTGGTAGTTACTGCCTAATTGTCATTGATAAGTGATATAATTATCATTGATACACGTTCATGTATCAAAAAAATAAGTTATTTTGTATTCAACAAGCATGTTAAATGTTTTATACAACAAACGTGACTTAAATTTTATTGTTTTAATTGTGACCAACTTTGCAAACCAAATATATATGTAAAAGTGAACGAAATTAGCAAAAGCTTCTCTTTATATCTTCACATTACTAGTTTTCATGAATACAGAGTAACCAAGAAAATTGTGTAGAAACGTTCATCATCATTTAGCTTATCGACGAAATCAGTTCAAGGATTCTTTGTAAGTAACTTAAATTTACGCATTGAAAGTGAGAAATCATTTCTTTCGACATCATGTATAGATCTTCATTAGCATATCATATCACCTTAAGTCTTTACATTATGGAAACTTGAAGATTCACGATTTCTTTGTCCATACGTTGTTCTCAAACCAATGATCAAAAGGAAAAACTAGCAGATTCCGAAATTTTAATTAGACTTCTAATTACAGACAATAAATCAGTTCAGTAACTATGTATATATGAATGTCTATATATTTCTGTAGTATTTTTGTTGAATAAACAAGCACAAAGATGAATATGAATAAACAAAATATCAAACAAATAACACTTTACAGTTGTGTTATACAATTATAATTGGTTGGTATTCAGGGAAAATCTGAACAAAATAGTCCACTCGATCGTATCCTATAACTGAGTTCAACTTAACACTCACTTTTGAACTTAGAAAAACTTAATACACAGAACTCAATCAATGTAATCCATCCATTCCGAATAGTTTGATTACTACTAATTGTACACTTAATTAAATTATAATAAAAATATTAGAATGAGAATGTTTCTCACAACATAGTGAAAAAATATCTCTGAAACATTTGTACAGAGTAAATTGAATCTTTTTTTCGCTTATTATATAATTTGCAAGAATTAATTATTAATCACAGCGGGTGGTAGATATATACATATATATGTATATGAGTATTAAAAATATGAACATAATGTAGCAGTGTTTAGGGAAATTCCCAAATGATTTACAGAAACAAATTGAAACGTGAACTTATGTACTCAGTGATGATGAAGTTAATATAATCTGGAGAGAGATGCTAAGTTTGACCTAATGAAAAAGAAAAGCGATTTTTATTATTTATTCTTTTTGTTTCACATATGCAATTCATTAAATTCATGTTACTTTTATCGCAGAACTGTCCAATAAAACCGGTTATGTAAGGCAGAATATACCATCTTCATTAATACTCAAACAAGTCTTTTCGTTAAAGTAGCAGTAATAATCCCAGTATTGTTTATATCAACTTTATCAATTACAGTAAAAATAGGTGTAACAAATAGTTTTACCGTCATCCCTATTCGCATTTTTTGGTTGTTTGGATCTTGCCATTAATGTTTACGAATGCGATTGATCAGTCTCTTTTGGCATAAGCTGCGTCTTGTGCAGATCGTCAGGATATTTCCATCCAGTCACAAGCATTATAAGCACAGATGAATGGTGCCTTGTGACTCTACAGAAGCAACAATACCGTATTTGAGTGGAATATGAACTAATTTAGAAGTATAAGCTTTTGACTGAGTTGATTGTGTCTACTTGATCTTGTTTCCGTTTCAAACATTGAATTTTTCTGCTAAAACGATTTCTACTAAACATATTTGAATGTTGTGAAAAAACTGGTTCTTAACTCTATTAAGCATAGCTCAATAATGCAGATGAAGTTGATACTACCAAGTAACAGACTGTCGATTACTGGACTAGACGGACTACAAGAATATAATACAGAAACCAGTATGACGTTTAAAAGTATTTGTTCAGGCTAAATCTTATTGTTTTTAATCTTGATATATTCACTTTATTTTCAGACAGGTAAAACAAAATCACCCATCACGTCACTCAGTGGTGGATATAATATCAGCTTTAAATTGTAAAACCATTGCTTCAAACTTTATTGTACATTGGTTCATAATATATTCAATAAATGGTAGTGCTCGACGTCCGAATTATCACTTAAATAGAAAACTTCAAAACCATGAAAATAAGTCATTAGTTTACAAGCCTTAATCGCGTAAGATTACTTCATTTTAGGTGGATAGGAGGACTAACTAGTAAGAGAATAATTCTAGATAAGTTATTTGAATAAACTGTTTTTAGTAGTATGTCTATTAAATGAATGAATAGAAGATAAATGAAGGAGAACAGCTTTGACAACTTTACACATTATTAAATTACATACAATAATGAAGAAAGATTTATGCGCTCCCTTGGTGAAATGAATATTTTGAAAGAAATATTTTCTCCTATATTAAGCATTGAAGATTTATTAGAAACAGAGGAGCACTTAATTCTGTCACCTTGTGTATAAAATGTAGTAAACTACCACCCATTTTTCTGATTTGACCTTTCCAAAGTCTTATTGGTAGGTAAGTAGTTTTTAACATTATTACTAGCATTTAAATTGCATCCGAAATATTTATCATGTACATCTCCGATAAGCAAAAGCTAACTAAACGAAAATGTATGATTTATTTCTGTCATGTCATGAAGCACTACGAAACAAAGATGTATCAAGTCAACATACGTATACATATAAGGCAGTTATGTCAAAATTGTAATTGCTTTAACACAGTGTAATTTAAGTGTAGCTTTCCGCAAATTGTGATAGTAAGATCATGCTATTCGAAATGATAAAGCAGCATATATATATATATATATATATATATATATATATATATATAGAGAGAGAGAGAGAGAGAGAGAGCTGCAGTGTCTAGTACTTTGTCACGCCTACATCGGTTATTCTAGCTTTCGTCCAGACCAATTAATTCATTCTTCTTGATTCACATTTTAGTCATGTCAGTTACTCGTCTATAAACTTGACGCTTTTTATTCTAACATGTTTGTATGCCACTACTTATTCTGTCCATCAAATGTCTGTAGCTTATTTTTATATGGCTTAACTAGTGAGTCACTCATCGGGTACACTTCTCAGTATTGCTATGTCCGCTTTGCTTTGTTTTTCTGCTACTCATTTTCATGTCTGTCTGCATACACGATTGCATGAAATAAACTCATTCAACTAAATCTGTATATGGCTTCTTATTACCTCCGTGACTCAAACGAGATTAGCCTAAGTACAATGTACAGAATTTTCATGGCATATACAATATCTTTGTTCTCATTTGGGGTCAAATCTTCCTAAATGAATAATAGTTCAGGAACTTGATCTGTTAATCAGTTTACCTTATTGTAATTCCTTGAAACTAAGTAATAAACACTGTCATCAACTGACGTTGCAGAGTTTAAAAACTATCCAAATGAGACTTGATATGGTATGGGTAGTCAGCAAGTGACATTTATCTTATGACCACCTCTCAAAGCGATTGATTTGTGGTACATTATGTAGATGCTAAGAAACACAGATGAAAAAAAATGAATAGTAATTAGATAGAACTGGAAAAAGGAGTTGTTCCAAGAATGCTGATCGGCGAACTATGCTCCGTTAAGGGTAAGAAATGTAAGTAAATGTACATACATTGAATGGTGCAAGCATTTTATCCCAGTTTCATTCTCAATAGTAGCAGCGTTTTTAATAAAGAGGTGAATTTTCTACTGAAAGTCTGGTAACAAAAGAATGTTTACTGAAAATCAACTTTTATAATTAGTTATGAGCGAATGCAAAAAAGCTCCAGCTGTTTGATACGAAAATATCTGATGAAAATCAGAATAACATAGATCGAAATAATGGTAGTATTGTTGTCAACATTTTTAATAAATAAGAAATTTTTAACCTAGTGAGATTGAAAATGAAACATAGAATCGTTCTGTATTTAAAACAAAGATAGGAGTAAACAATACACATATTTATGCTTATGATAACACCTTTAATAAAAAATCACTTCAGGATATAATTAGCTGGTCACAAGCACAACTCGAATTCCCACCAGGAAACTTGAGCCGACTTAGACAACTGATGTTCTAATTCTGGTGTTTTTTTTACAAAGTATTTTCTCCTCGCGTAGGAGAATAAGTATTGAGTAGATTAACATACTCAAAACCTTTTCAAAAAATTGTTTTTTAAAATGAGTCAATTGCTCTACGTTTAACATCACATTTAGAAAACATTCGATTAAAGCTGTATTTGAAAAAATACTTGCACACTATGTGTATTTAAAAACAGTGTTTCGTTGGTGTGTACTGATGGAAATTAGCAAAGGAGAATTCCTTCAGTAATTAGTCAATTTCACTTAGACAATGATACTGAAGTTATCTGCGACGTCAAGACAATTAACATATGTTCCATGATTCGATTAACTCCTCTGGCTACCTGTTTTTAGCATAATAATTCATAATCTGTACCTGATATATTAAATTTTTGAATGTTTGCGGTTGTATAAAATAATGAAGATTTACAAGCAGTGTTGATCAATCATTAATTATTGGGGCTTAGGATACGTAATATATTTACAGTAGATGTTACTGAATCAAATTTGTTACAAATAACTCCTAAATGAAGCGAGATAATACTGTTAACATATCAATGAACAAATGGATGATTGGATAACCGGTTAAGTGACCGTAAACATAGAAACATTTTAGTGTTAATTATTAAAAGTTATTGAATCCGATTAGTGTTACACCTACACCATATTACCAGAATACCAAGAGTCATATGAATGAAAATGTAAGTTAATAAAGGTGCTAGTACGCCGTAGTTCTAATGTGCTTGGAATTGATTGATCAAACTTTTACAAGTGCAGTGTGATTGTATTTGTGCAAATCTGAAAGTAAAATACCTTAACTGCAGAGGTGTACTCTCTCAAAATTCGACAGTCGATCGATATTTATCTTTTCAATGTTAGCCATTCAAAACATCCTATTCCGTACTTGACCAATGATTTAAATTTCACTATTACACACTATTCTTTTCATTATTTCTAAAAATGAGTATAGATCTCACTTCATTCTTTGATATTAATACATGATCGCAACAAAAATCGAACAAATAACTAATAGCTTACTTTGCCAAATTGACTAAAATATTCACTTAGTTCTTCATTTGTAGTTTGTGTTGCCACTCCACCAATAAATACACGTTTAGTTTTTGTAGATACCTATAAAAAAGCAATAAAAAACAGATTTGTTGAACAAATCAATTAAGGAAGAAAAAAATCGTGGAAGAAACTGTTGAAAAATAAGCATAAAATTTGCAATGCACTATACATGTGCAGTGCATACCTAGTTGTACAAGAGGGAAAAAAAGACACGTTTTTCTTTCATTCTTATTTATAGAAATATTGGTGTTCAAATGTTACGTATCCAGATTTTATCTCATTTCTTCGATGTTTGATAATCCCTTATGTTTGAAAGAAAAAATTAAGTCAGTTGAATAACAGCCATTTTTCGGCAGAATATTTCTATATCTTGGCTAATTGTGCAACTGAATGTAAATTTAATACAACGTAAAATTTATTCAGTGAAATTTCGTTGTTCATAATTTAGTGTTGTTTTATTTACGGTGTGAAAATTCATACCTATCAATATTTTATGTGACCTTGACAAACCGATGAAATTATATTTAACGCCTGATTTGGTTGTTTTCAGCCAACTGGTTTAGGGAATAAAAGCCAAACGCTTCTAAGTCAAATATATTATCTACTTGTTAAAATATAATCACAGCAGCAACTGCTCGAACCCACAATGAAACTTATCAGAAGTATATAAATCGGTGATAAAACAAAGTTATTCAATTATCAATCCCCGAATAGTTTTACAATATTCCTGATTCACGTTCTACACTTGGAACTAATTATTTTTCATTATGGACTGATTTCAAGTAATCACCTTCACTTGGAAAATATTTGTATAAGTAAATAAAAGGTACCATATTTCAATAACGACCAAAAGAATCAACAATTAAAAAGTGGAAATTAGGCGCGCAACAAAAAGTAAATACATAGAATTCTGATTCTTTTTAACCAATCAAGAAACCGATCACTAGAATAATCTGTAGGAAAACATTAGATGTCTAAAATTACAATACAGTGTCAAATACTATCATAATGTTCATAAATAATGGAGCGTAAAAAATTCTACTCTACAAACAAAAGAAAAGTTGATAAACTAGTATTATTAAGAAACTATAAGTTACGAGTAGCACTCTATTTAATCAATAACAATACCTTGATTATATCAGCTACAGTCTACTGACCATACATTAATAGACTATCAATGACATTCTGTATTGATTATTGCGTTATCAGTCCTTTTACTGCAACAGAATAATTATTTTATCTGACAAACGATAGTTACTATGAACATGATTTGTGTGCATAAGTACATTGCAGAAATCCGTTGAGTCACTGACAAGTGGACTGAGTCATGTTGGTAGATGTAGGCTACCTGGTTGGGGTCCGCGAGACAAAAGTCACCAATGGTTATTGACCTTGAATGCCATGGCGCAGGTGCATCCACTCATTATGGTCTCTCAAATTCTAATCTTCTGGATTCGTTAACTCATCTACCTTTGTCTTCCTAACCTTATCTCACTGAAATATACATCTTGAATAATCCTAATCTTCTCCATTACTAGTTATTCTTCTGCTATCTCTACCACTATGGGATTTGAATTGACAACTGCGTCTCTGTGCTAATGTGGTATGGCAACCTGAACTGATGTACTTACGTACGAAGTTCTGTGTTGTAACTGACTGACTGTATAAATACTACTTAATTCAATGTGTACTTAGTTAGGTAAAATATTATCTAAAATAATAACCAGTATCTTAATAGAATGAACATCAAAAATATTTACAATTGGTTTTTAGCTAATGCACCAAACTGTTGTTTCATTACACATATTTATCAAAAAATATTATTCAGGCATTAAATGCCAGCAAAATGCTTCCAAGATATGTCTTTACAAAAATTTGATTAACCGTTTGAAAATAATTTTTAATGCAAAATTTCATGACAGTAAGATGATAACTTTAAAATTCAATCAGAATACTATATGAACATAGTAAGAATTGTTGCAGTTATTGCATTTCAATTTCTGTGCTAAAACAAGACACATTTATCTTGTAGATCATCATGAATGAAGAGAAAATTTATTCGTAAAAACAAAACGTTAAAGAAAAAGAAAACTTTTTTTACGACAATAACGATTTGTCAAATTTTTTAAGTCATAAAAAAAAAATAGAAAAACCCATAAAAACGAAGGTGCATTTGAAAATTCACGGGTGTGTTTGTTTGTTTTTTTCTTAGTTTTACGAGATACTGATGATGAGATGTTGAAACGAAATCAGCTTCTGCTTTTTTTCGCGGATATTATGAACCATTCATCAGTTTTTTTAATTTCAGTCGGTAGATTATCATTATCCAATGACATTAGGAAGCAGTCATTCTGGCTAATAAATTTTTCTGAATACTATAAATTATATTTTTTTACATCATTGCTTCAGGAAATCAGTTAGTTACAAGGAAATTTATTTCTGAACAATGTAAATTACGTTTTAGTTGGATGTTTTGAAGAAATCGATTTGTTGAATCAATCTATTGATTAAAAGCTCAATGTAAATGCGACATGCAAAAAGTAGATGAGACCTGTTGCGGCTAGTTGTTATTGTTTATTTCTTATTTCTTGACTGTCAAATAATTTATCAAACAAAAATATCGGACAAAAGCTGTCTAGCTACTCTTACGTTTACACTATTATATTAGTTACAAAAGCAAATGATACTTTACCTAGGACCCAGCGACAACAGATTTTATATTGGGTTTATTAATCATTGAACAAAACTACAAATGACTAAATCCAGAAGTCCGATTACAGATTTTTTGAAATAAATTTTGAATTCAGTTTAACACAAGCATTAAGAAACGATATGGAATAGATGAAAGGTGGCTTGTTGTGAAATTCAGTTGTGTTTCACCCTACTTGAAACTTGTCAACTAAATGTACCTCATCTCAGAGCTGATACTCACTTCGTCACTCAAACCCAGTACTGTTTTCTTCAAACATCACGTGTAGCAAGTGAGTCCAAATAAGCAGATAGCCATTGATGTAACAGGAAATGAATTTCAATCTACAATTAGTTATTAACTCATTAAATTTAATGCATTATAGATAAAGAAATTTCTAAACAGATTCACGTTTTAAGAAATGTGAAATAAAGCCTGGAAGTTTGTGTGTTAATTATAGTCAACAACGTAGAACCTGTTTAAATGGTTTATGACCACAATTATTTTTTCGATTTTTATTAAAGAATTGCTTCTTACATGCTCGTTTGCTCTCAGATAATTTTTCAGGTTATCCAGAAGTAAATTCCTGGTTTGTATAAACACTTTTTCATGCAACTAAATTATTAATTAAAAAACATTTAAAGTAGGTTATTATTTCGTTAATTATATCATTGACTGAATTTAGAGAAACAAAAAACACTAAACAGCTGGTTCCTCCTAGAATAAGACTCTGGGTCAAAGCTTATTCATAAGCCTACTAGAGCTCAAACCCAGGTCATTTAGGTCCTTCAACAAGTACTGAAATTTCAAACAACTGAGACAGCATTCAAGTGTTTACATGTCCTGGAGTTCTAATGTGAAGCCCTGACCAGTTGATTGCAATCAGGTTTGTACAGAGATAGTTAGTATTGGGAGATTTCTGTATAATATCAGAAATGTCTTGTAATTAGTAGTGTAAGTCACTGGATACTAAGTGAAAGGTCAGAAGATTAGATTCGATCAATGATAGGATTGGACGCCTACTTCTATGGAGTCCCATACTTTGTAGAAACAGATTCTCATTTTCCTTGGCCTTCATTTTTACTCTCAGATTAGTCAGTGGTTTAAACCATAGAATTAAAATCCTGAACAAACCTCCTCACAGAGATAATTATTTTATGTGTTCTCAGAAGTTGAGTTCCTCTGAATGGCCTTTCTGTTTCCTTGAATGAAAATATTATTTTCCGTTTTTTACTTCTGACTACAGTAGACACGTTTTTCAGACTACACATAGACGAAAATATTCACGTTACTGTCCTTCACAGTCACTACTATATATGAGCACCAGATAGTAGATTTTTCAACTCAACAGTCCAACCTTTCTGAATATATGCTGTTGAGAGAAAACGCATTATACGAATTAAAGGCAGCTTGAGAACAGTTACAAATCAGGAAGCGCTCGATAGCTTCTTTAAGTTAATTTTTGATTCTTCATAAGCTTATGTTTATGAATCAACTTGCGAAATGGTCTGAGCTTTAAAATTCCTACAGCACTGTAATGAGAATTCTTAAACTAAGATCTAGCAGCTTTCAAGAGCTATCCGGTTTCCTGTGGTTCTTCAGTTGATGAAGACCAGTGACAAAAAATAATCGCCAGACTAAAACTTTTTTATGAAATTCCTGAACTTGAGAATAAAACTTAAATAGAAACCAAACAAAAAGTGATTTTATGTAACTAGTTCCACTCATCATTTTAAGCCGAAAAAGAATTTTAGTGTTTGAAGCACCAGATAAATTCGTTTATTTAACTTGTTTCTACTTATGGTACCTAAAAGTAAGTGAGTGTGGTTAGTCCAAAACAGTAAGATAATAAACATTTTTAGGCATACGTTTTTATAGCACAGCAGTCAACTGTTGAAAAGTTGAAACTATGAAGATAATCTTCTACTAAAGTTTATAACAACATCTTCCACAACCTTTTTGGGATTTTTTTAATAATCGGCTTTTAAATAATCCCACAACCAATTCAAGGTTGAAGTTTGATCAGTCTTAGTCAGCATGTGCACATTATAAGTAGGATAATCTAGACACTACAATGAATTACAAGTTTTAATAAAATTGATGGGTTGAGGTCAACAGTGAAATCTTTCTGTCTGAGATTCATCAGTTGAATGGTCACAGTAAAAATACATGAACACAGCATATATTTCATGTCTAAAGTCATCATGTAATTCAAATCGAAAAAATGAATATTAGATATTCATCATTACATAATTAAACATCATATTTTTAATGAATCTAACAATTATTCATTAGTGTGGAGCATAAATAAACAAGTTCAAACTATTTCCAATGTTCATTTGTATAGAAATAAAATATTCACCGAAAGCAA